AGGCAAAATAAAGTGTCACACGTTCACAGAACAAAAACATTAAGAAGTCCATTTTGGACATATTAAGTCTGAGATGTCAACTGGACATCCAAGTAAAGGTGTCAAGTAGCGAATTGGCTTTTCAAGTCTGGAGTTCTGGGGAGAGGTCAGGTGGGGATAAGACATCTGGGAGTTATCTGCATGTTAATATTTAAAGCCACGAGAGTGGACGAGATCACACTGAAGAGAAATGCAGGTGGAGAAGAGGTCTGAGTACCAAGCCCTGGCACACTCCAGTATTTAGTGGTTGGGGAGAGAAATTCTGTGTGGTGCAAATGGTTTGCACTTGACTGCTAACCTAAAGGTTGGTGGTTTGAGTCTACCCAGCAGTACCATGGAAGAAAAGTCCCGGCAATCTGCTTCTGTTAAGATTATAGCCAAGAAAACCCTATGGAGCAGATCTACTCTGTAACATATGGGGTCACCATGGCTTGAAACTGACTGGAAGGCAACCAACGCATACACACACTGGAGTAGCAGGGGTAGGAAGTATTGGGAGAGGAGATCAGAGAGGTTGACAGAGGCCAAACCACATGGCTGAGAAAGGTCTTGGTGAGGAGTTTGGATAATATATGAAGGACAATGGACAGTCATGGAACGGTTTAAAGAGAGGAGGGGCAGAATCTGATCTGTTTTAAGATGAAGACTCTGGGAGCTGGATGAACTGGATGAAGCATGGCCTAAAGGAGGGAAAAGTGGGTGTAGGGAGAACTTTCCAGAGAATGTGGCTGGGCTTCCCGCCCAACTCTAAGAAATGCAGCAAGTCTTGTCTTTCTTCGGCAGAGCCAGAGCTACCTGCCTGCTTTGACACTGTGCAAACCACCCTATTAGGTTAGCAGGCGTCTCTCCCAGCCCAGGAGTCACATCCCCTTGGTTGCACAAATACAGATGGAGTCTTCTTCTGTGGTGAGACAAGGAGACAGGAGGTCCCATTTTGGGGTCCAACCTTCCGTTATGGCAGGCCAGGAAGGCCCCGCCTGCTGTTGGGGGCGAAACAGGAACTCCTGCCCCAAAACGTCTGCGCTGTGCCGGCCACTGTCCCTGCTCACACATGTGTGGCTATCCGCACAGTCTTGGGGAAACTAGGAGGAGAGATGACTGGACTGGGGCCTGAGGCCTGGAAGAGAGAGGAGGGAGGAACTCAGGAGTCACCCTGGATGAGACACGGCTCACCCACCTAACCTTTTCCAGCTCCAGCGCTCATCATTCAGAAATTAGCTGGGTTCTCTGCATTTGGAAGAGGAAAATAAATGGCTGGCCACCCTTGGGGGAGATAAGACATTCAACAACCCAACTTTTATGGGGAAAGTGGAGATTCCATCCCACTTTGGAGAGAAGGAAACTCTCATCCAATTTTTATGGGGGAGGAGTCCCATGGCATCCTCCTTTGGGGAAAAACTGTAATTCACTCTTCTTTTAAAATATATAAAAGTTGGATGGGAACTCCTGTCTAACTTTCCTATTAGAAACAAAAGGGAAGGGGGGGGGGAGGAAGAAGGAAGGACAGGAGGGAGAGGGGGACGGAGGGAGGTAGGGAGGAAGGAAACAGGGAGGAGGAAGGAAAGGAAGAAGGTAGATAGGGAGATAGGTAGGTAGGTAGAAAGGGTAAAGTTTCACCAGTTTTGTAAACCATAAAGTAAAACTGGAGAAAGAATTCAGAGCATCTCATTTCCCTGACTAAAAAAAAAAAAAAAAAATCCCCGTTCAGGGAAGAAATTGGGGCACCCACACTCACTTGGTGCGTCCTGGCTGGTCTAGGATCTTGCGGGGGGATTTTGAGGGGCGGAAGCTGTGGGGTCTGCACTGGGGTCACACTCTGCGTCTTCTTTTTTGGTGGGATGACCACAGGGATCAAGGTGGCGGGCTTCTTCCTAGTAGTCTTTCCTGAGAAAGAAGAGGAGGAGAAATGGGAATACTTGATTGGCTGCTCAAACACACCCCCAAGGGCCCCAGCCAATGGCAAGGGAAGCTGGTCTGAGAGGTGGAGCCTGACTCTGATGGGTGATATGGAGATGAAGGAGGCGGGACAGATGACCTATGCCTGCACTGATTGGTTCAGCCAGGTCTCTGATGGGCCTTCTCTTAGCGACCCTCCCAGATCACCTGGTAGCAGCTGCCCCTTCACCAGGCCTCTCACTCACCCTGAAAGCGGCACAGACAGCAGATACACAGGACAAGAAGCGCCGCCAGGAGCGCCAGGCCCAGTAGGGAGCCCAGGACGATGCCAGCGACGGCCCCGGGGCCCAGGGTGGAACCTAGAAGAGACAAAAGAGAGAAAAGGGGAGCAGGAGCCACGGCTGCATCCAGGTTTCCTAAGCCCCTAACTCCTCCTCCCCTCAGAGACCCAGGCGTCTAGACCTCCTGCCCCTCCTCGCTCTGGACCCTGGAATCTGGGCCCTCAGGTGCCTGGCACTCTGCTAGGTGCCGAGGATCCAATGGTGGACAAAACAGGGAATGCACCTACCCTCTTGGGGATTAAGTCTAGGAGAGAAGTCAAGTAAATGAGCAAATAAATTACATAATTACAGATTGTGCTAAGAAGGAAAAAATGTGCTATAATAGAAATAATGTGAGGGGAGGTAACATTTGCAAAGGATGGTGAGGAAAAGTCCCTGAGTGTTATGGATTGAATTGTGTCCCCCAAAAATATGTATTATAAATCCTAACCCCTATACCTGTGGACATAATCCCGTTTGGGAATAGATTTTTCTTTGTTATGTTAATGAGGCCGTATCAGTGTAGGCGTGCCTTAAACCTAATCACTTTTGAGATATAAAAAGAGCAGATTAGATACAGAAGCTAGCAGCAGTGGGGGAAGATAGATGCCAGGGGGAGATCATCAGGGAAGGCACAGAAGCTGAATGAGACCAGGATCTTCCGCTAGACAGAAAGAGAGCCTTCCCCTCGAGCCAGTGCCCTTAATTTCAACTTCTAGCCTCCTGAATTGTGAGAAAATAAATTTCTATTTTTTAAAGGCACACACTTGTGGTCTTTCTGTTATAGCAGCACTAGAGCCTTGGTGGCCAAGTGGTTAAGAGCTCAGGCTGCTAACCAAAAGGCTGGCAGTTCGAATCCACCAGCTGCTCCCTGGAAACCCTATGGAGCAGTTCTACTCTGAAATCGACTCCACAGCACACAACAACAAGATAACCAAGACAGGAGTTATCTTGATGATAATGACGTTTAAAGCAATGACGGAGTCGCTGCGTGGCGAAAACAGTTAAGCCCTAGACTACCAGCCGAAAGGTTGGTGGTTCGAACCCACCCAGTAGGCTCTTAGAAGACAGGCCTGGTGATGTGCTTCTGAAAGGTCACAGCCTTGAAAACTCTATGGAGCAGTTCTATTCTGCACACAGGGTCGACAGCAACTAACAACAACAAAGCCATGAGAGCTGACAAGATCACACTGAAGAGAAACACAGGTAGAAAACAGCTCTGAGAAACAAGCCCTGAGACATTCCAGTATTTAGAGGTTGGGGAGAGAAGGAGGAGCAGAAAATCGTTTGCTGGAGAGCTAGGAGGAAGTCAAGGAGAACGCACCCACAGCCCCAACTCACCGGCCTGGTAGACCTGACTTTGTGAAGGGGTCCCTGGCTGGCCCCCTAGGGTGGGCAGGATGCGCAAGGCCCAGGTCCCAGGGCTCCGAGAGGGTAGAGGCATCACGGCGGACCGCTCTTGAGGCCCCAGGATGAGCAAGGACACCCAGTCCTTGTAGGTGGTGGCTTTTCCCAGGTCAGGCCCTTCTGGCCGAGCCTGGAGCTCAAAGCCACTGATCAGCACCCCGCGCTCCACATCCCAGGTCAGCACGGCCCCATCGTGGGCTCTCTGCAGCCTCCATGAGGAGATGGAAGGCCCTGGGGGGAAAAAAGGGGCTGGGAGCTGGACTCCTGTGTCCTTGAGGGGAGAGGGAAAGAGACTGGGGGCCTGGACTTCCGGGTCTGGGAAAGAATGGGGCTCACCAATAAGCCTGATCCGGTCACCGCCAGCACCCAGCGCCCCACTGCACAGCACGGAGTAATTTCCTAGGTCCCTATCCAGGCTGAAGTTGCCAATGAGGAGCCTCCGTCCATCTTGGCTGAGCCGCAGGCGGCCTCCGCCGCCCAGAGCCAGGGGCTGCCCTTCCCGGGCCCAGGATGCTCGCGAGGGTGGGGGACAGCCAGAGGCCTCCAGCGCCACCTCTGCCTCCCTTGACCGTGTCTCTTCCACCTTCGGATGCAGCAGTACCTCTCGGGGGGCTTCTGCAGATAGGAGAAGCTCAGTAAGCAAGTCAAGCCCTTACCCTGAATTTAAAGGAGTCCTGGTAACGAAAACGGTTAAGCACTCAGCTGCTAACCAAAATGTTGGCAGTTCAAACCCACCCAGCAGCTCTGCGGGAGAAAGACCTGGCAATCTGCGTCCATAAAGTTTATAGCCTAGGAAACACTTAAACCAACCAAACCCATTGCCATCGAGTCGATTCTGACTCATAACGGCACTACTGGATGGAGTAGAACTGCCCCATAGGGTTTTCAAGGCTGTAATCTTTTTGGAGAGCCCTGGTGGCACAGTGATTAAGCTCTTGGCTGCTAACTGAAAGATGAGCGGTTGGAACCCACCAGCTGCTCCGTGGGATAAAGACGTGGCAATCTATTTCCATGAAGATTTCCAGGCAGCTGTACCCTGTCCAATAGAGTCACTACGAGTCAGAATCGACTCGACGGCAATGGGTTGTTTTTGTTTGTTTTTAATTTGTGCTCTCCTCGAGGTACAGGAGAAGCCTGAATCCTTCTGTAGGGTTAAAGAAAAGGAAGTCCCACTCCTTCCCTGGAATAAGGAAGCCCTCTCCGCTCCCCACTTTAAAGAGCCCTGGTGGAGCAAGTGTTTAAGCACTAGGCTGCTAACTGCAAGGTCGGCGGCTGGAACCCACCAGCTGCTCCACCAGAGAAGATGTGGCAGTCTGCTCTGCTCCCGTAAAGATTTACAGCCTTGGAGACACTACGGGGCAGTTCTACTCTGTCCTATAGGGTCGCTATGAGTCGGAACCGACTGGACGGCAATGGGCTTGGTTTTGGTATGACCCTTTTGGATCCTTCATGAAGTCCTAAGGGATTAAAGGAAAAGTCCCTCCCCTCAACGAGAAGCCCCGCCCCCTCTCACCCAGGGTGACAGTGCATGTGCGCGTGGCCACCAGGTGGCGAGCAAGGCAGGTGACAGTGACGCCGCTGAGACGGGGGTGGGCAGGGACTGCTGCCAGGAGCTCAGAGGGCACTGGTCCGGCGGGGACGCCTTCGGGGAGACCCTGGAACTGCAGGGAGGCGGCAGGGACTCCGCCGGGCCACGAGCAGTGAAAGCGGAGGCTGCGGTCCCCGGGTCCTCCTTCGACTGAGCACTGTGGGGACCCGGGGGGCAGACCTACGGAAGGAGGGGAGAGACAGGGACAAAGGATACAACCTCTCTCCCCTTTCTCCTCTAGCCCCGCCTGTTGGTGCTTTAACTCCACCCCTTCTTTATCTAACCCTGCCCCTCTGGGCGTTGAGCCCCCGCATTCCCTTGCTGAACCCTCCTCCTTTGCCCAGTAACTCCACCTCTAAGGTAGAAGCCCGCAGCCCCGCTGACTGCCCCTAGGAAAGAAGCTCCTATGCACTGCATCTGGGCACAGTGATTCCCTTCCTTCCAAAGATAGCCCAGCCCCTTCCTTTCTAACTCCACTGCTTTTACCAGGTGACTCCACTCCCTCCTTGATTACCACACAGGTAGCTTCCCCTCCGGCTTCGTCCCACCCCACTCTGGGTATCCCTGCACCTTTTCTGGCCCCGCGCTTTGCTGACCCCGCCCTCTTCCAGGTATTCCCCACTGGCCCCGCCCTCTCTCCCAGGTACCCACCACCCCTCTGGCTTGGTTGTGACCTTCTCCGGGTATCCCTCATTGGCCCCGCCCTTTCTCCTGGGCACCCTTCCTCCCGTCTCGTCCCGCCCCTCCCCAGGTATCCCGCCCCCCTGACAATCCCGCTCCTTCCTTGCTGGCCCTGCTCCCTCTCGAGCGGTTCCTCCTCAGGTTTCCACTCCTCCTTGTTAGCCCCGCTTTTCCCCGCTGGCCCTGCCCCCGCCCCGGTGGCCCTGTCCCCTCCCGGGTATCCCTTACCGGCCCCGCCCTCTTGTTGCCCAGGTGCCTGCCCTTCTGGCTTGGCCCTGCCCGGGCCGCGCTCACCTGCCACAGTGAGGTTGAGCAGCGAGCGGCGGCGGTGGCCGGTGCGCGGGTTCTCAGCGAGGCAGGCGTAGGCACCCGCGTGGCCCGGCCCGACCGCAGGCAGCAGGAGGCGCGGGCCGGCTGGCACTGCGGCCTCGGCCGGGTCGGCCAGGCTCCAGGTGATGCCGGCTGGCGGCCGCGAGGCGGCGCTGCAACGCAGGGTCACGTTGCTGCCCGCGGTGACATAGAGGGCCGGGGAGGCGTCGCGGTCGGAGGACACCGTGATGGCCGGCGGGTCCGGGCCGTCTGGGTGGAGGAGGAGGCGGGGTCACTCGGGACTCCTCCAGGATGCCCGGAGACTGAGCCCTCAGCCCCCTTGTCCCCAACCCGAGGCGTTGCCCTACTCACAGAAGACGCTGACATTGGCCGCGGCCTCCCTGTGGCCAAAGGGGCTGCGGACATGGCAAGTGTACCGGGCATGGTCGCTGCGCAAGGGGCGTCCGATGACCAGCTGGTCGCCCTCCGCGCGGATCCGGGGCTGCTCTGCTCCCTCGGGGTCCACCACCTCCAGGGTCCGTCCGTCCCGGCTCCAGCTCAGCTCCCCATGCCAGGGCCTCCACCCCACGCAGCGCAGCCGGAGCTCGGCCGCCCCCTCCTCTGTCTCCAGCGCCTGGGGCTGCACTGACAGCTGGGGCAGGGGCTCTAGGAGAGGAGGAACCAGCTCCGGACCTGGCCCAGGAGTCCAGCCCCCATCCCCCTTGTTCCTTAGATCCAGGACTCCGGGCCCCCAACCCCTACCTCTCACAGACAGGAGTCTGAGCCCTCCAGGCCCCTCCTCCCCTAATAATCAGGAGTCTTGACCCCAAGCCCAAGGTCCCTCAAGCACCTATGTCTTGCCCACCAGCCCCTCTTCACCCTCCCTCAGGGACTTTAAGGAGCACTGGTGGCGCAGTGGTTAAAGCGCTTGGCTGCTAACTTAAAGGCTGGCAGTTTGAACCCACCAGCAGCTCCGTGGGAAAAAGATGTGGCAGTCTGCTCCCATAAAGATTACAGCCTTGGAAACCCTATGAGGCAGTTCTACTCTGTCCTGTTGGGTTACTGTGAGTCAGAATCGACTGGAAGGCAACGGGTTTGGTTTGGTTTCTGGGTCCTTATGCAAACACGTCCTCAGAACAGTACAGTGAATTGCCCAAAGGTCTCCCAGAGTAGAGCAGCCCTCAACGCCCACTTACCATACACGCCCACCGTAAACTCCCAAATCTGCCGGGAGACCCCGGCCCGGATGACCTCGACTGTGTAGACCCCTGCGTCGTCCAGTTGGGCAGAGGAGACTTCCAGACCCCCGCCAGCCTGGTCGAATCGCAGGCGGTGTCGGTTAGCAGGGTCCAGGCTGATCAGCCGGGCCCCTGGCCCCAGGCTTCCAGCTGCCAGCACCGTGGAATCCCGTCGCCAGACCACCAGTGGGGCAGGGGGCCCGGGATCAGGGGCGGAAGGCAGGGGAAGCTGGATGGTAGTGCCCACCAGGACCGCTAGGGGTCCCTCCACCTGCTGGGGGAAACTTGAGGCTGGGTGGGCTTCTGAAGAAATTTCAGACTCCAGGCTCTGGGCAGAAAATCCAAGATCCTCAGGGGAGAATTTTGAACCGACTTTGATACCTGGGACTTGAGTAGAAATGTTGGAAACTGGGGTCTTAACAGGGAAGGGAGGCTTGGGACCTTTGGCAGGAGCTTCGGACCCAACTTCGGACTCAGGGATTTCAGGAAAGGTGGGATCCAGGGTCTTGGCAGGGAATTTTGAACGTGGACCCTCAGCAGAAACATTTGCCCAGAGGGACTCAGACATATTGTTTGAACTCGGGGCCTTAGTAAACCATTTGGAATCCGGGGTGTCAGCAGAGGCTTTTGAACCCAGAGACGGATCTGGAAGTTTCCAGCTGGTGACTTTGGTGGAGGGAACTTTGGAACCCAGGCCCTGGGAAGAGCTCTCTGAGGCAGAGGAGAAATTGGTTCGCTGAGCTCCAGAAGAGGCTCTAAGGGCGAGGACCCCTTCTCTGGAGGCTGTAGAGGAAAGGAAGGGAGGGTGTTGGGGGAGGCTGCTGGGAAAGGGGGCTGGTGGGGAAGGGGCTGGGCAGGGGACTCACCCAGAAGCAGGAAAAGCGGCAGAGCCCAAGAGATGTCCATGGTGCTGGCCGCACCCGCAGGGACACTGGAGTGAGTTCTGGGGCCTGCGCCAGTCTCTCCAGGGAAGGACGAGTCCAACAGGACTGGTAGGTAGCTTCCTGCGCAGGGAAGGGAGCCAGACCCAGTGGGAGGTGCCAGGATCCCCCACCCTGATCCAGTGGCTGAGTGTCCCTCCCCACCCCACACGCCTTCATCAGCTGACCCACCAGAGGGGAGGCCAAGCCTGACCCTTGCACTCCCTACCCCCTGGGGGGAAGAGGGTGAGAACTTAGTGTTGCTGTTGGGTGCCCAGTAGAGCAACCCCATGTGACAGAGTAGAACCGCCCCATAGGGTTTCCTTGGCTGTAATCTTTACAGTAGCAGATTGACAGGTCTTTCTCCTGAGGAGCCACTAGGTAGGTTCGAACCACCAACCTCTCGGTTAGCAGCCAAGCGCTTAACTGTTGCACCACTAGGGCTCCTTGAACGTGAGTACCAGCTGGAAATGTGGTAGGGTGGGACAAAACTGGGAAGACTTCCTGGAGGAGGAGGAGGTGCCCTTTCAGAGAGCCCCACCTCTGATGGTCTCAGCTCAGGCTTCCTCCTCCCCAGCCTCCTGTTCCCCCTACAGCCTTCGATACAAATTCAAGTCTGACCCTACTTCTCCCATGGCTCCCTGTCACCCTCAGGACCAGTCTCAAGTCACCATCTAAAGGCCAGACATCTTTCGTCAAACCCAGAGCTGCATTTCCATGTCCTCCCAAGCCCCTCATATGCCCTACATCCTCCTAAGCTCAGCATCTTCCCTCTAACCCAGCCCTCCTCCTGGGTTTCCCATCTCCAGGTTGGCTCCACCATCTTTGCAGTCATTGAGCCAGATGTCTTCACTCTCTCCCTCCCCCTTACTCCCCAATCTTCAAGCTCTGTCCCTCCTGCCCCCTGAATCTCTCTCCCCTTCCCTTCTCTCTGTCCCCACTGTTCCAGTCCTCTCCCCTGGACCCTCGCCAGCCTCCTTTCTGGTCTCCAGTCCCTCCAGTTCCCCACATGGCCCTGAGGGTCCTTGCAACCAGAGCTGACTTTGTCCCTCCTTTGCTCACACCCCTCCCATGGCTCCCCAGTGCCCTCAGAAGAAAGTCCAAATTTCTCAGCAGAACTTCTAGGCCCTGCCTGGCTTAGACCCACCCATTCCATCCATTTCTTCACCCTACTCACTCTTTGAACCACCTGCCACCTGCCGCATCTATAACCTCCCAGCCTTTGCACATGGTGCTGTTTCGTCTCCCTGGAATGCTCTCGCTCACTCCCCACCCTCCTCCAACCGGGCTAACCACATCTTGTCCTTCAGGTCTCACCCTATTAAGAGTGATAATAATAATTACTAGTTATCATGCACCAGGAACCATGCTAAATGCTTCCCATGCAGTATCTGGCTGAAGCCTCCGAAAAACCCTATGAGCCCGGTGTTGTTATTTTCATTTGACAGACCAAGGGACTGTGGCTCAGAGAGATCTAGGGGACTGTTGGCAGTTGCACAGCCAGAGAGGGAGAAGCTGGACTTGATCCAAGATGGTCAGACTGCTCACTCCCTCAGAAAGTTTTCCCTCCCACCCAACTCCAGGCTTAGAGCCTCTGCTCGGCTCCCAGGCCGTTGAGCTGACCCCCAGCACAGTTCTCGCTATGCTTAAAATAATAATACTAATAATACTTTTAAGGAACTATCCATATGGATCTCAAATTGACAACAGCAACTGGAAAGGATAGATAGGAAGCCTAGGGGGCAGTGAGATTATGTTAATGGGGGAGGAACAATTTGGAAAAGGAGGGTGAGAATGGTTGAATGAATGCAATCAATGTCACTGAATTGTGCCTGCAGAAATTGCTGAATTCGTGTGTTTTGCTGTGTGTATTTTTAACAACCAATAATTTTTAAAAATTATGCTAATCATACATATTGAGCATTTTCTGTATGTCAGGTGTGGCTCTGGGACTGCTACATAATTTAACCCTTTAGAACCCCACAGGGTAGGTTGCAATAGCTTAAAGATGACTGTAAATTCTTTGGCACTCTTTCCATTGAGAGGTGGGGTCTATGTCTCCTCCCCTTGAATCTGGGTGTGCTCCATGACTGCTTGACCAAGACAGTACAGTGCAAGTGACCTTGTGCCACTTTCTAGATCTAGGCCTTAAGAGACTGGCATATTCTACTGCCTGTATCATAGAACATGCCCTCTTGGAATCCAGCCACCATGTTGTGAGGAAGCCTGAGCAGCAGGGGAGAGGAATCATGGCCCCTGGTCAACAGCCCTGGCTGAGGCCCCCAGCCAACAGCCAGCACCAGCTTTCCAGCCATGTAAGTGAGACATCTTAGAACTAGATCCTCTAGTCCTGTAAAAATGGCATGGCAGAGGCATCTGACCTCCTCTAACTTCACAAGGGAGAGACAGAATCACCATCAGCATCAGCCCAAGGCTGACTCCTATGAGGCATACCTGCTCTCTCCAAACTTTTTACCAATTCTGACACCAGTTTTCCCTCCCACAGCACTCTCTATTTCTCTGCTGGGTTCGATAATTCACTGCAGTGGCCACACAGAATTCACAGACAATACTCACAATTATGGGGTTTATTATCGACTGAGGATACAGTTCTTTGGTCAGGACAGCTTTTTGGCCATGCCCACAGGCAGGCCTCTCCCTGGCCCTCGGCCCCTCATTTCAGCCTCTCCCTTGCTCAGGCAAGTGTTACAAAGCTCTTTAGCTCCACCAACATGTGCCTGGGAGGCACACCACTCTGCTAGCAAGCCTCCTGCCCAAAGGCACTCAGCTTTCTCGCTGTCTTAGGCTGGGTTCTCTAGAGAAGCAAAACCAGTAAAGCATATAAATATATGTATAGAGAAAGAGATTTATATCAAGGATATGGCTCACACAGTTGTAGAGGCTGTAACATCCCAAGTCCGTGGGTCAGGAAAGAGGCTCCTCCTGATTCACGTAGATGCAGGGCCTGGTGAACCCAAGATCGGCAGGCCAGAGAGCAGGGCTGTTGCTCACAGGCTGTGAAAATCAACGAATCCCAAGATTGGAAGGCGAGACCGCAGGTAAGCTGCTAGCTCAAGTCCCAAGAACCAGAGGTCAGACGAACAGGAGCTAGCTGCAGGATCCAGAATGAGCAAAAGCCCCCGAGCCCTACCTGAATGTCTGCCCACACTCAATGCAGGCCACATGCCCAAGGAAACTCCCCTTCAACTGACTGACTACTCACAGCAGATCCCATCATGGGGGTGATCACGTATCAAATCTCAACAGGGAAGTGATCACAACATTATATGACTGCCAAAACACTGAGAATCACGGCCCAGCCAAGTTGACACACAATCTTAACCATCACATGCTCCATGGGCTGGGAGGCCCTTCCTACCATCTCCTGCCAGGCTCCTAGTTCTGCTGTCTCTGCTGCTGCAGTCTCTCACCATCTCTGGGGTTATAGGTCTCTTTGTTTCCTGGGTCTAGGAGGTTCTCGGCACAGGGATCCCAGGTAAAAAGGACACACTCCACTCCTAGCTCTTCTTTCTTGGTGGTAGTGAAGTACTACATTTCCGCCTCTGGGATGGCTCATTTTAAGCCTAGTGGGATGGCAAAACTGACCTCATTTGCATGGTCCCACCACCTCACAAGGGTGCCATGCACCTTATTTGCATTATTAGCAAGCTGTCCAATCCCCTGGGTGGGCCACAAGTATCTTATTTGCATAGTCCTACCCAATCCTTTGGTGGGAGTTACAAGACCATGGCGAGAAAGGCCATATAAAAGTGATCCAGCGCACTGCAGGCCCCATTTGAGCCACCTCAACTGATGGTGCATGGAGGAAAGACAAGCTGTCTCTGCCGAGTCCTTGCCAAATTCCAGATTTATGAGCAAAATAAATAATTATTTTAAGCCACTGTGGTTAATTTTATATGTCAACTTGGCTATGCTATGGTTCCCAGTGGCTTTGCCAAACATTAGACTAGGTGCTGTTCTATAATATAATGCAGTGTAATGTAATGTAACGTAATCAATCAATCAGGTGAAAGGAGAATTTCTTAGGGTATGGTCTGCCTTTGAAGTACAGGTATTTTGGCAGATATCTCTCTCTCTCGACTGCACTCTTCCTGTCTCCTGACCTATGGATCTTGAGATGCAAGCCTTCAGAAGTCTCCAGCCTCCCATCTGGCCTATGGATTTTGAACTTGGCAGCCCAACAACTGTGTGCACCAATCCCTTGAAGTAAATGTCTCTCTCTGGTTCTGTTTCTCTAGAGAACCCTGACTGACAGCCACCAAGTTGTGGGGCGGTTTATTATACTGCAATAGACAAACAAAACACAGATATTATTACTAACTTCATCTGACACAGGAGGAAACCTAGGCTGAGAGTAGTGACTTGCCTAAGGTCTTCACAAAGCCAGGAACCCAGATCCCATTCCCTTAACCACTACACTATGCTGTTACTATCCCTAACTGCCTGTTATGGATTGATATACTGAAGTCCTAACCCCTGGTACCTGTGAACATGACCTTGTTTGGAGATAGGGTTTTTGCAGATATAATCAAGGTAAGATGAGGTCATTAGGGTGAACGCTAATCCAATATGACTGGTGTCCTTCTAAGAAGAGACACAGAGGGAAGATGGCCACTTGAAGATGGAGGCAGAGACTGGAGTGACGTAGCCACAAGCCAAGGAACACCTAGGGCTACCAGAAGCTGGAAGAAACAAGGACCCTCCCAGAGAGCCTCTGGAGAAAGCATAGCCCTGCCGACACCCTGATTTCAGACTTACAGCCTCCAGAACCGTGAGAGAGTAAATTTCTATTGTTTTAAGACACCCAGTTTGTGGTACTTTGTTATGGCAGCCACAGGAAACGAACACATTGCCAGATGAAGGAATCGGCCAAGATCTCACAGCTGGCAGGGGTGAAAGTGAGGTTTTGGAACCAGGAAGTCTGACTCCAGGTCTTGGATTCTTTATGCTGCACCAGGTTTTTGT